GTCCAGCTCGACGAGCCCGTCCAGGTTTCGGATTCGTCACCCACTCCTGTGCCCGTGAACGGCCCGACCTCGCAGCACGGTGTTTTTGGGACACTGGATCCTTTACAGAATCTGCGCAACATTGCAGCTCCGAGTCCAGGCCCCACCGCATCACCTGCGGCCGGGGGCGGGGTGTGGGATTCGCTAGGTATGGGCGCCAGTGCACGAGTGAGGGGCACTTACAGGCAGCAGGCGGTGACCTCGTATTACAACGACCYGCTGGAGCACGCATGGCACCTGCAGATCATGCGATTCATTGTCGAGAGCGGCATGCCGTTCAACTGTGTGAAGCTTGAGAGCTTCAAACGCATGTTGACGTTGATCATCCCGCCTGGGGTTCCAGGAGTCCCCACCCCAAAACCCCCAACGTATCACATGATTTGTACCACACTTTTGGATGAGCTTGATGTGGAAGTCCAAAAGTGTGTGAAACCTGTTCTCGCTACTGCAGCTACCTACGGTTGCACGATAATGACAGACGGTTGGACCAACATTCGGGGCCAAACGTTGTGCAACTATCTCGTCGGCACTACACGGGGCGCCACATACGTCGCGACAGATGTTATGCGAGGAAAGAAGGATGCCACTGCACTGGCGCAGGCTTGGCTGCGAAGGTTGAAGTCCCTTGACATCAAGCTCGCTGACATCACCGCTTTCGTCACAGACTCTACCAGTTCGAACGTTTCTGCGATGGAGGTGTTCCAGAAGGATGAGAGTGTCAAGCACATCTTCTGGATTCCTTGTGTGGCACACGTCATGGACCTCATCCTTGAGGACATCGGCGGCATTGACTGGGTGGCGACCCGCATTGCTCAGGCGCGTTTGGTCACAAAGTTTTTCAAACGTCATAGCCACGCTCGCGAAGTTTTGCAAGCTTTCACGACGAAGGCTCTGCTGCTTCCGGCCGAGACTCGCTTCGGTACGCATGTGATTATGATACGACGACTTCTTCTGCTGCAATCGCATCTTATGCAGGTGGTCGTTGATGATCGATGGAAGGACACTGTTTGGTCAACGAAGAAGATTGTCCTCAATGGTGGGAGGATATGAGAACGCTGTGCAAGTTGTTGGATCCCATCATGGACATGCTGCAGATGGTGGACAGCGACACGAGGCAGATTGGCAAGATTCTGCGTCGGTACGACGAGATGATCGCGCGTTGTTTGTCTGCATGTGCYGCTTTGGAGATGGACGAGCAGGACGCGCTGCTTGAAGTGTTTGACAGACGCCGCACCATGTTCAAGTCGCCTGCTCATGTTGCTGCCACGATGTTGGACCCCGAGTTTCGAGACCGCACGGTGCCAGATGACGAGGAGATGCAGCACGGTTTGAAACTCGCTCTGATTCAGTTTGGGTACCCTAAACATTCGGATCAGCACAACGAGGTCCTCACTGCCATTGACAAGTTCCATTCCAGGGAGCCGCCGTTCGACGACGTGGCCATGGACCGGGCGGCGAGGAGCTATACCCATCCAGCCTGTTTCTGGGAGTCGAAGGAGAAGAGGTTCCCGCACACGGCCTTCTTCGCTGGCAGGATACTGCGTGTGTGGGCGACTGCGTCGCCTTGCGAGAGAGCTTGGTCCCGTTGGAGTTTCATCCACTCCGAATCTCGTAACAGATTGGAGGTGGCGCGGGCCGAGAAGCTCGTGCGATGCCATTGGAACCTTCGGCTCCTCGACAGGCAGGCTATGTCGGACGATGCTCCCAGTGACAGGCCACATCCGTATGGGAGYTGGGTGCACTACTGGCAGCAGGTGGAGGAGGAGGTGCCCACCGACCAGTAGCTTGTGGCAGACCGAGGAGCCCGTGTGACGGTCACGAAGGAGGAGTTGACGCAGGCGAGAGAGAGGATGTGAGTCGTGTCCCGCATGGGAGCCACTCGTCGCTTGCGGGAGTCTGACAGGAGGAGGTGTCGTGGCGGCGGTCGCGGAGGTGGTCGTCGGGGCGGTCGCGGGCGAGGCGGGCGTGGAGGTCCTGGCGGGAGGCGTAGTGTCGCGAGTCGTGGAAGGGCAGTGGACGAGCTAGTACGCAAGCCTCGACAGCGATGGGATGAGGGAGACTTTTTGTACGAGAGCTCGTCCAGCGATGACGAGGATTTCTTCGGGACTGGCAGACCTGCACATGATGGCGACAGCGATTTCGACGACCGTCACCCGAACGTGGGCGACGACGATGGCGCCAGTGGCAATGATCACGGTGACGAAGGAGATAGGCCACGACCTGCACATGGTGACACGATGCGCGCCGACGGGGCAGGGGGCGAGCACCGCACAGCAGTAGATCACGCTCGAGATGGAGTGCATGATGATGGTTCACGACCTGTCTCGGGCGATGACCTGAGGCGCTTGAAACGCGGACCAAGGGAAAAAGACACTATCGCTTCACGTGTGCGCAAACGTCATGGTGGGGTTGCTAGCATTCCACTATCACGAGTCCCCGCAACTGGGAAGATTCCAGTTTCTGAGGACTCTTTHAGCGATCACGGCGGCGAGGAGCGGATCGAGCTGCATGGCGGGAGCGGTCATCCACGAGGTGACACTTCGAGTATGCACGCGACA